AGACAAATTTAATGAACTGGATTCTTGTGAATCCAATATAAACGAGGTATGTACGTATCCTTATCATTGAAATGGAATATAGATGATCGTATTGCTGAAGCATGATTAGCCAGTAGTTCTTCTTTCGAAAGTTTGCATAATATATAGGTGGAGTTTCCTATGATGTCAAGCATGACTGTTTCTTTCTGTATGTAGGAACCGTAATAGTGTCTGCAGACAAGATATCGGACGCTTTATCTACAAGCACACTAAGTGTGGATTTAGGATTAGAATCGAAGAACATTGAATCGTGTCTCGATTTCATTTCAGATTTCAAACAGCGTATTATTTTAAGAATACTAGACCATTCGTTCATCTATTCTCTGGCATGATTTTCAGCAGAATTGGAAAGTTCTCATAGCTTACCATGTTGTATTATACTTAAATCACCAGTAACTAGACGCCCAATATCTTTTACAGCGTATTTGAAAAGTTTACAGTGCATTACAAAATATTTGTCAGTTTATTACAACATGTTTCTCTCATCAAAATCTATCTCATAGTGCATTACCATATATTTTAAGGGTATTGCTAAATTTTAATTGTTTTTTTACAGAAATGTTCTAATTTGTATTACATATATATGATAACCTGTATAGTGCGATATGTATTGTTTCTACAATGTCCAATGAAATTATTCCCACCAGAAACCATTGTTTCTTAAATATCCATTGAAATGTTCCCCACCAGAAACCATTGTTTCTACAATGTCCAATGAAATTATTCCCAGCAGAAACCATTGTTTCTTAAATGTCCAATGAAATGTTCCCCACCAGAAACCATCGTTTCTACAACGTCCAATGAAATGTTCCCCACCAGAAACCATTGTTTCTATAATGTCCAATGAAATGTTCCCCACCAGAAACCATCGTTTCTAAAACGTCCAATGAAATGTTCCCCACCAGAAACCATCGTTTCTACAACGTCCAATGAAATGTTCCCCACCAGAAACCATTGTTTCTATAATGTCCAATGAAATGTTCCCCACCAGAAACCATTGTTTTACAGTGCCCAATGAAATGTTCCCCACCAGAAACCATTGTTTCTATAATGTCCAATGAAATGTTCCCCACCAGAAACCATTGTTTTACAGTGCCCAATGAAATGTTCCCCACCAGAAACCATTGTTTCTATAATGTCCAATGAAATGTTCCCCACCAGAAACCATTGTTTCTATAATGTCCAATGAAATGTTCCCCACCAGAAACCATCGTTTCTAAAACGTCCAATGAAATGTTCCCCACCAGAAACCATTGTTTCTATAATGTCCAATGAAATGTTCCCCACCAGAAACCATAGTTTCTATAATGTCCAATGAAATGTTCCCCACCAGAAACCATTGTTTCTATAATGTCCAATGAAATGTTCCCCACCAGAAACCATTGTTTCTATAATGTCCAATGAAATGTTCCCCACCAGAAACCATTGTTTCTATAATGTCCAATGAAATGTTCCCCACCAGAAACCATTGTTTCTATAATGTCCAATGAAATGTTCCCCACCAGAAACCATTGATTCTATAATGTCCAATGAAATGTTCCCACCAGAAACCATTGTTTCTATAATGTCCAATGAAATGTTCCCCACCAGAAACCATTGTTTCTATAATGTCCAATGAAATGTTCCCCACCAGAAACCATTGATTCTATAATGCCCAATGAAATGTTCCCCACCAGAAACCATTGTTTCTATAATGTCCAATGAAATGTTCCCACCAGAAACCATTGTTTCTATAATGTCCAATGAAATGTTCCCCACCAGAAACCATTGTTTTACAGTGCCCAATGAAATGTTCCCCACCAGAAACCATTGTTTCTATAATGTCCAATGAAATGTTCCCCACCAGAAACCATTGTTTCTATAATGTCTGATAAAATGTAGAAATATCTTATGTAATTATCGTGCTTCAATTGTCGCACGGAAAACAATACAATTTGAACAAATATAGTTTCCCTGTTTACCCTTCAGCTACCACTAGATACTTTTAATTCTATATGTCATATCATATCATTTTCAAATTATGTTTTCCCCCACATGTACTAAGATACAGTACCTTCTTCACGTGATATCGTTTGCAGCGTATCTAGCTCCTTCCGTGATATAGCGTACAGAATATTTATTTCACTCACAGGATATAGCATAGTATGGTCTTTATCTGCTCCACGTGATATAGAATACAGAATATTCACATTCTTCACGTGATATAGTGTACAGAATATTTATCTGCTGCACGTGAAAAAGTACACAGATGATTCATTTACTTAATGTGATATAGTTTACATAGTATTTATCTGCTTCACCTAATATGGCATACAGAACGTTTACCTTCTTCACTTTATATAGTATACATAATGTTTATCTCTATCACGTGATATAGCGTACAAAATATGTTTGTACTTCACGTGATATAGTGTACAAAATATGTTTGTACTTCACGTGATATAGTGTACAAAATGTGTTTGTACTTCACGTGATATAGTGTACAAAATATGTTTGTACTTCACGTGATGTAGCGTACCAAGTATTCATCCGCTTCACATGATATAGTATACAGGATATTTATTTGCGTCATGTAGTATAGCATTGAGAGTATTTATCTCCGTATGACATAGTATACAGAGTATTTATCTCCTCCGTATGACATAGTATACAGAATATTTATCTCCTTCACGTGTAAAAGCGCAAAGAAGAATACTACAAAGGTATTTGACACGCATAACGTTCACTTATCCTCTTCACATATCGACACATTATGAACAATCGTATTTTAACATGTAAAATATCTTTTTGATTTGTTCATACTAAAATCGTCTTAAAGATGAGAGCTCAACAACGTAACAAAACTTGTAAAAGAGCAAAATAAAACCACCAACCAAAGAGTAGATCTTATAAACTATGTCAATAGAAGAATATATGATATACATATTAAAGAGTATGACTATTATACAAAAATAACATGGGGAATAGTATTAAGAGCATACATCATATAAAAGTTACCATATAAAGATTTACAGGGCATATATCATATAACGGTTGAGGGGGGATATAACATATAACGGTTGTGAGGGGTATAACATATAACGGTTGAGGGGATATATCAAATAACGGTTGAGGGGAGATATATCATATAACGGTTGAGGGGAGATATATCATATAACGGTTGAGGGTAGATATAACATATAACGGTTGAGGGGAGATATATCATATAACGGTTGAGGGTAGATACATCATATAACGGTTGAGGGGAGATATATCATATAACGGTTGAGGGTAGATATAACATATAACGGTTGAGGGGAGATATATCATATAACGGTTGAGGGTAGATACATCATATAACGGTTGAGGGGAGATATATCATATAACGGTTTATATTTTATAGAAATTTATGGGGTATATTATATAAATGTTTTCGGGGTATAGTATATAAAGGTTTACGGGGAATATTATATAACGGTTTACTTGGGTATATTATATAAAGGTTTACGGGGAATATCATATAACGGTTTACTTGGGTATATTATATAACGGTTTACTTGGGTATATTATATAAAGGTTTATGGGGGTATATTATATAAAGGTTTACGGGGGTATATTATATAACGGTTTATGGAGGTATATTATATAAATGTTTACGGGGAATATTATATAACGGTTTACTTGGGTATATTATATAACGGTTTACTTGGGTATATTATATAAAGGTTTATGGGGGTATATTATATAAAGGTTTATGGGGGTATATTATATAAAGGTTTACGGGGTATATTATATAAAGGTTTATGGGGGTATATTATATAAAGGTTTACAAGGGTATATTATATAAAGGTTTACGGGGGTATATCATATATCGGGGTATATTATATAAAGGTTTCCGAGGTATCTTATATAAAGGTTTACAAGGGTATATTACATAAAGGTTTACGGGGGTATATTATATAAAGGTTTACGGGGTATATTATATAAAGATTTGCGGGGTATATTATATAAAGGTTTACGGGGGTATATCATATAAAGGTTTACGGGGTTTATTATATAAAGGTTTACGGGGTATATTATATTAAGGTTTACGGGGATATATTATATTACGGTTTACTGGGGTATATTATATAAAGATTTGCGGGGTATATTATATAAAGGTTTACGGGGTATATTATATTAAGGTTTACGGGGGTATATTATATAAAGGTTTAGGGGGTATATTATATAAAGGTTTATGGGGGTATATCATATAAAGGTTTACGGGGTATATTATATTAAGGTTTACGGGGTATATCATATAACGGTTTACGGGGTATATTACATAAAGGTTTACGGGGGTATATTTATATAAAGGTTTACGGGGTATATCATATAAAGGTTTACGGGGTATATCATATAAAGGTTTACGGGGTATATCATATAAAGGTTTACGGGGTATATTATATTAAGTTTTACGGGGATATATTATATTAAGGTTTACGGGGGTATATTATATAAAGGTTTACGGGGTATATCATATAAAGGTTTACGGGGTATATTATATAAAGGTTTACTGGGGTATATTATATAAAGATTTGCGGTGTATATTATATTAAGGTTTACGGGGGTATATTATATAAAGGTTTACGGGGTATATTATATTAAGGTTTACGGGGATATATTATATTACGGTTTACTGGGGTATATTATATAAAGATTTGCGGGGTATATTATATAAAGGTTTACGTAGGTATATTATATAAAGGTTTACGGGGGTTTACGGGGTTTATTATATAAAGATTTGCGGGGTATATTATATAAAGGTTTACGGGGTTTATTATATTAAGGTTTACGGGGATATATTATATAAAGATTTACTAGGTATATTATATAAAGGTTTACGGGGGTATATATATAGTAGGTATATAGATCTATTAACAAATGTGTATCAATAGGCTGTTGATAGATGTTGCTGTACAGGATACTAAAACCATACTCACCTATTATTGGTAAATGATGATCGGATATTGTATCGTAGTAAATGTTGGCTTTATGATCCGGGTCAGCGGAATACTTTTCTGAATGTCTTCTGTCGGTAACTTTTAAAAGGTCCTCAGTATCATCGAACTGTGCATAGATCTTTCTCAGAAGTTTCAGTCTCCACGATATCCTTTTATAATTGGCATTACGGTGTCTATAAGCCATAACACCACATATCGCCCCCTGTAGAAACACAAGTAGGCAGTAAAAGCTTAAAGATAACCCACCAATATTCATCACACTGCTAGGGTGTCTTCACACAGGACTGACAGGCATTGGGAACTACTCGCCTTAGTTGGTCAAGCAGAGTTGTGAGGGCCCTTGTTGAAACACATTGTTTATAAGCAGTGTCAACACCCACCTATCCGTGCCACAGACCGCTGCTGATGCTCACCTAGTGCCCTACCACCAACACTGTTTATATCACAGTACTAATGCTTTCAGTTATTGACATACATTAATTTTTAAACGGTCGTGATCAGGTTTATAATATCGTATGTCAGGCTTTATATTACATCTACCCTCAAAACGTGAGAGGATGACGAGCCGAGCCGGATACGTGTGACACTACCAGAGATACAGAACGGGTGGTGAAGCGGACCACCGAAGCAATCGATGCGGGGAGACAACAATCAGCGCTGCCTCCACAGCCGATGACAGCCAATGACAATCCTTGATATGGGTATACAGCATATGCATATATAAATTGACTGTAATCAATAGTCAGGAGTCACTGGACAATCAGCGTGTTTAACAAACACACGAGTTAGCGTAAATTTCTTTTTTGTAGTTAGCAATCGTAATCACCAGCCATACGTTTCATTGTAACACTTAACTGTAACACAACAGTCGTTATCAAATCCTGATATTTAACACATATCCACTCTACCGTAAATAGGAGTGGTCCCTGGTATTATTATCAGGAACCCTGATTTCAACATTTTTCATCAGGGTTACTGTTTCTCTTTATCACAAATGTAGCTTACAAAAATCATATTTTGGCGGGAAAATTACTTTTATAGATTGTCGTGTCCAATCCTTGTTGTTATATATATATATAATGATACAGTGGTGAATCACAGATTGTCGTGTCCATTCTATGACGTCATATATATATATAAGGAAAACTTCCCATCTCGAATATAAAGTGTTGTGCTAGTACGCTACACACTGGTCATTTGTCTGAAGAACATGCCCACATAGTTATCGATACTTCACACTGTAATATTTTACTGAATAAAGCTAAAAAAGAAAAAAACAAAACAGGAAAAGACATATACCTAGGCACTATGATGCATATTGCTTTAGCTGTCGTACAGGCATCTCAATGAAGCCTTTTTCGCAATTTTTCACACGATTTACTCTACACAAGTAAATCGCGGTCAAACACCTCTATATAAACACTTGTAACATGCACAGGAAATTAGCTTGATTTCTAAGAATTTTCTGGTATGAAGATATATCTGGACTTTTCTTGTGACCACAACACAGTGTATTTATTTGTTTTATATATTTGTAATTGGATCGCACCGTCTGATTAAAGTATTTATTCGTAATTAAAGATGGCGCAGGTGTAAGAGTTACCGTACGATAGAAACTGGAGCGATGTGAAGATATAGGGTTCCTTTTCATATGAGAGATTATGAAACTTGCCTCATATAATTGTTATTACTTTCTAATTAAATTGTTATGGGACTGAAAGACTAAGTAGATTGTAAATGGAAAGGAAACCTACAATCAAAGTACACACAAGTGTATGGTGTTTCGGTCTGAAATATAGGAACTGTACACCCAAGTGTATGGTGTTTCGGCCTGAAATATAGGAATTGTACACTCAAGTGTATGGTCTTTTGGCCTGAAATATAGGAACTGTACACTCAAGTGTATGGTCTTTTGGCCTGAAATATAGGAACTGTACACTCAAGTGTATGGTGTTTCGGTCTGAAATATAGGAACTGTACACTCAAGTGTATGGTGTTTCGGTCTGAAATATAGGAATTGTACACTCAAGTGTATGGTCTTTCGGCCTGAAATATAAGAATTGTACCCGTAAGTGCATGACCGTTCGGCCTTCAATCTGAAACAAAAGAACGTTTAAAATGATATAGGTCACGCAACCATAAAGCGACGTCATACAAAGAATATACTCTATTTTATTCTATACAGCGGGAAATACTTTCGTCTTTACAAATGTCAATAAAATCGCTTAAACGGTTTCATATTTATGGTCAATACTCTCACAACAATATCCAGTGCTATAATTAATTGTAGTAAGTTTTTTTGTCTGGTTTGACCGATGTTCGTAAACATTAAAGATGGCAACTTAATCCACGGGGATGAGTACACATAGGTCTGACACACGAGCTGATGATGACGTGAAAATATGGTCATTCATAAAAACAATTACATACACCTGATATATATATATACGAAAGATATATTTATCTAAATGAGCACAATTAGTAAACAACAGGGAGGGGGGGAGGGGGAGGGGGGCGGGGGGATATAAACAAACATCAAGGTAAAATATCAAAATTATACAGTTCTTACGTCATTTGGTCTACCATATCTGACTAAATGCTGACAATTTGTATATGCATATAATCTTATCAATTAATCACATCCGGTGCAATACTTTGGGGACTTGCTGCTGAGGAGAGAAATTATTCGGATGTAACATCCTGTTACAGTATCATAATACCACCCCCTTCTACCTGTGCGTCATATACCATAACTCATTGTCCTCATCCATATTTCTCTTTCATGGCACCTTGCCGATAATCATAACTCTAGCAAAAACCAAGCCCACACTATCTAGAGCAGGAGCTCACAGGGGTCAGCCTAGCTGGAAAGGTAACAAAATTTGTTGTGCACAGCAAGGATCTATATACTTGGGCAAACAAAGAAATGAAAGTCTGTCGGTCCCCTGCTGGTGGGTGTGGTTCTCAGAGGCAGGATAATACATGGAAAATTTGAGCTAGCTTAGCTTTCATGAGTAACAAAGAAAAACAACTCAATATGTAATAAGCGTGATAAAGTGTATTAGAAATGACGAATGACAGAATTTTTTCGTAGTTGGGTACCCCTGCCAGAGCTCAAAAAAGGGCCCCAAAAAATCATGCTAGCTCAGTTCATGGGGTAACAACTTAAAACCAGCCTCAAATATATCAGTAGGGCCCACTTTAACAGAAAAGAGTAGTGACAGACATTTTCACTGGTGGGGGGTCTGAGCCAGACACCCCAAAGTACCATGCCCTACAGCTAAGCTAGCTCAGTTCATGGGGTAACAACTTCAAACTAGCCTCAAATTTATCAGTAGGGCCTACTTTAACAGAAAAGAGCAGTGACAGACATTTTCAGTGGTGGGGGAGGGTCTAGCTCAGCTCATGGGGTAAAACTTAAAACTAACCTCAAATTATCAGTAGGGCCTACTTTAACAGAAAAGAGCAGTGACAGACATTTTCAGTGGTGGGGGATGCCCTCAAAATACCTTGCTGATAGAACCATTTTGTCATGCATGCATGACTTTTTAAACCTTTTTACTTGCTCCAGCCCAATGGATATATCAACACATTACCTAATATTGCATTGAATATCCTCTCAGGCCTACATCGTGAATAACTAATCCCAGAGGAATTTTTTCCACCCAGAGTCAGTGAATCCATCATAGATACAATCCTAATTCAAAACAGTGGGCGTTTTCTCCAGCCAGTCAAAAGAACGAAAGTTCAGAACTTCGCTGCTGAGAATGCAAAGAAGAAGGTACCTGCTCTGAAGAAAGCCTTTACAAATGCAGAGAGCCTGCGTGATGCTTTCATCCTTTTGATAGTGGCTGTCGCAGAAGAAACAAGCGTAGACCTTCGCAAGGTCCTGTCCTTCCCGATCATCTCATATCCCCTGTCAATTACACACTGTGATGGGTCAAATGTGAAGACAGTCAAGGCAGCACTGCTCAACAAGCTGGAGTCCATGCAGACAGTTCTGTTCACAGAGAAAGACCTCTCACAGGGGTATGCACAGATCTTTGATGGTGGACTGCTTCTCCACTCGACAGTGTCGCAGACGAATATTGGAACATCATACGGATCCATTGCTCGGTCAATCCTGTCTACTGTTTGTAAGGGGAGAGCCACAGAGGTACACGTATGCCTTGACAAATTTGTCACAAATTCCATCAAGGACAGCGAAAGGGAGTTGCGCGGAGCAATTGACTGCCAGTACACAATCACAGGACCTGATCAGAAGGTGCGGCAGAATGGTCAGAAACTCCTTGGGAATGGCAATTTCAAGGATGAACTGGGAAAGTTTCTGTTGCATGAATGGGTAAAAGAGCACTACCGCAATATCTTTGGAGGGAAAAGAGTTATTGTGTCATATGGAGGAGACTGCTACCAGTACATTCCTGATGACCAACAGCAAGTGATATCTGTCACGAAGCCAGCACACCTGCAAGGAGACCATGAGGAGACAGACACACTCATAGCCTTCCATGCTGCCAACGTCATAGCTGGACAGATAATCGTCAGAGCCTCAGACACAGACGTGTTGGTGATCCTCATAGGTGCTATTGGGAGTCAACGTCCAGAAGTGAGGTCACTGGCGAACATAATCTTAGACTGTGGGATGGGGAATACGAGGCGATTTATCAATGTCTCAAATATTGCTGAAGTCCTGGAAGAATGCTAGTCCGGATTACCAAGAGCACTCCCAGGGTTCCATGCTTTTACGGGATGCGATTTCACGTCTGCGTTCTACAGGTAAAGTAAAATCACTAGGCATTGCAACTTTAAAAATTGAGAAATTAACATTTGGTTGGCCCTTCGTTCAGAGAACCAGGAACAATAGGACTGATCAGGAACTGGTCTAACCACGTTTAAGCGTTTTATCTGTGTTGAATAGGTCCAAACATGATATGGCAGAATCGGTATATTCTTGACAATCCCAATTTTACCAACGAATCAGAATTAATCAGAGCTGACACCCATGTTTCAATGCTACAATGATGATAATTTGAATTAAATTTGTCTTCCTTAGGAAAGGTAAAGCCAAACCCTTCGACATCATGAAGAAAGACGCCACCAGAAAATTTGTGGAGATGTTCATCAGTATGGGAGATATCACTGTGGATGTTGACAATGACGTTGCTTCAGAATTCGTCTGCCTCATGTATGCCAACACAAGACACGAGATGTTAATGAAGCCCGTTACCTCAAGTTGCTTGAAATGACTGGAAAAGT